ATCTTTTCACATATATGCATGCACAATATCATGTTCACATTTCACATATATAGTTTATGCATTTCTACTTAGATATGCATATTTCACGTAATCCATATAATAAACATGTATAAATTACCTCAACTCAGGTTGTCTAAAACCTGGTTATAACAACCTAGCATATATGTATCTCAGTAAATCTCTTAATATACTCACCTTGCTTTGCACTTAGCTTTTCTTCTACTTCAATTCCGCACTTCAAACTTTGTATTGTTGTTTCCTTTGACAGTGTCTTATTACTCTTGGATGGAAATAATGGTTCCATTTCAACCTCTATTTATAGGTGATTAAAATATAAAATGGATAAAATTTTCTTCACCTATCATGCTTCTAACTTTTGTGTCTCATGCTTCCGGCTCTTCTTTGTCATCAAGAATTTTGTCAAAGCCTACTTCTAACTGTAACAACTTATAACTAGTTTGTTTAGTCTTAGACGTGCTTTCTCATCAATAGTTTTGTCAATACATACTTCTAGCCTTAACAACTCATATCTAGTTTGTTTTGTAATGCTTATTGAACTTACTTTGTCAAGTGTTTAGGTTTGATTTATCATGATTTGCCTTGTAACTATTTTTTTCCGTGTGAAATATGATTATTAGTAGTTGCTAATGTCGGCTAGTTGCTTATGCTTTTGTAGTGCACTTAATTTTGATCAGAATAGTTGTGTTTAAAACTTAAAACACTACAATCTAATATATCTATACTACATTAATAAACATATACATCAAAGTCTTAAGTACAACTAATAAGACACAAAATACTAGCATTTTATGCATGAATTAAAGAAATCTCTTAATTACAATACGTAAAGCATGATGTACAAGGTGTTAATGCATGGTTTTAAAACAATCCTAAAAAATCAAGTTTGGTATATTCACAATATTCTTTACCTCCTCTAAAGTTTTCAGTTTCTTTTAGGAAACCCATTGACCAAAACCTAGACTTTTCCAAAATTCAAATTCAAAATTCAAAGGCCTTATATTTCCAGATTGATAATTCCTGCTCCAAAGAATGATGATTCAACTCCCAAAGTTTCCTCTTCTAGCTCTTGCGATTGAGTTTCAGTAGCTAACTCACTTTTAGTCTCCATGATTCCTATCAAATCGTCGACTACCTTCTTCATTGCTCGCTGACTCACTCCATATGAACGTTTTAAACAATATCTCAATGAATTTCTTACAAATGATTTTATTTTCCTGTTTATTCAAACATAATTCCGAATGTCATTTTGTAAATTACAAGTGTAGGAAAAAAAACCACCATGCCTACGTTAGTATTTAAAAATCTAGAAACAACAAATGTTACAACATTGAAAATATAGTAATCCAGCAATTCCAGTTCATATAATATTAATTCAAAATAACATATTCATATTCAAACTGAAAGGACAAGTGCCAATCGATATTCTCACTTACATTTATATAAAATTTATACCCCGTTGCATTGCGCGGGTACACAACCAATATATATATATATATATATATATATATAGATGACAAAAAGTAAGAATCTTACCTAGTAAGAGCGAAGGCAAGAATCGAGAGTCAACCTGGTAAGTGAGGGCGATAACTCTTACCATGGTTAGCGCTTACCGAGATAAATTGTTGCATACGATGCGTTTTGGTGAATAAA